ATTTTTCCACAAATTTCTCTTTGAAATAATTCATGTGAATCATTATATAAAGATATTAAAACAAATAACGCTCGTCTAAGGACTCGCTCAACTCTTTCTCGTAGAAATGGTGTTCTACAATGCAACGAAACCTTTTCCTTACATAACTTACAAACACTATCATCAGATTCGAGGTCCCTGCATCGAAATACCTCTAGAAATGTCTTTTTCTAAAAATCGGTTTTTGATGTTTTTTTGACCCTGCGAACACACAAGCAAGCAAGCAATCAAGCAAACAATTTATTCTTGCAAGACTCTTCTCTAGGAGAAAGAGAATACATAAGTAACGCTCGTCCGAGGACTAACGTGTACCAAAACAATGGTCATTTGTGCTACGTTAACGACAAAAATAATACATATAAATAGATAATTCCCGTTTCTAGACCCTATCCTTTCAGTGTAGGGAAAATCTACCGCAGAAAAGTAGGAAAATAGTTCATGAATGAGAGGAGTAGCATGAAAAGGAAGAAGCATATATTCTGAAATGAACAGTTGTTGGTTAGTCATTTCATTTTATTTGAACGTAGATTTTGAATAGATTGTTTTCACTTGTTTTATCATGTTAAATATGGGATAGTAATGAGAAATAAAATCATAATTCATAAATAGAATAAAGTTTTTCTAATTACATTTCTATTGGAATATCATCAATGATTGATTGTGTTTGAATAATAATTGAATGATCTTTTGGATAAATTTTCTTTTGTATTTCTAGTGTTTTCAAATAATATTTTCTAGATTTATCAAATAAAGATTTTTTAAAATAATAATTCGCAATAAAACTAAAACATTGATGTGTTATTAAATATTGAATATGAATATTATTTTCAAATATATTTAATGCTTTTTCTAAATAATAAATATGATTTGAATGATTATAATCATATAACTGACTTATTTCCATATAAATATTAGCAATACTTGAATAACAATCAGGAAAATATTTTTCATACCATAAAAGTTGATTCATTGAAAATTCTAAAGCTTTTTCAATTAATCCTTGTTGTTTATAAAGATAAATTAATGATTTAATTGAATTTATTTTAATTTTATCTCCAATAAATAAAATATTTTTACTCATTTCAAATGTTGTTAAATAAAATTCTTCAGCATAAAGATAATTTTTCATTTCTAAATAAATATCACCAATAATTCCATGACAATATATTATTTCATTTAATGAATATGAATTAATTTCTTGAAGAATATCACGTGCTTGAATACATTTTTCGAGTGCTTTTTCATAGTTTTCATTAATTAAATCAATTGTTGATATATTACTAAGAATAATAGCCATATTATATTGATTATTATTTGAATATTTCATAGCTTGACAATAATATTCATATGCTTGATTAAAATTTTCAATAGATTTATAATAATTTCCAATTCCATTAAGTGTTATTGAAATATTTGATTGATAGAAATAAAGATTTTTCTTTTTTAATTCAAATGATAAATTAAAATATTTGAACGCTTCATTCCAATTTGTTATTTTCATAAAAAGATCAGCTAAATGATCATAAATTAATGGTATATCATAATGATTTTTTGTTAATTCTTGTAAAATCATTTGAAAATAAGATTCAGCTTTTGTATATTGATTCATATCAATTAATAAATTACCAAATATTAAATTAATATTTTCTTTATTTCCATATCTTTTTCTTATTGTTTCAATTGATTCTTTTACTTTTGATGTATTTTGATCAATTGCTTTTATATCAATTTGCCAAACGTTTAATTCATTATTAAAATCAACATTTTCTATTTGAAATATTGAACCAATACTAAATAAAATTTCACATTCACCGACATGCCCAACATATTTATCAATATCAACAAAAATAATTTTCTCAAGAATTGATTGTTCAACAATAATTTTAAATAAAATAACTTTATAATCTTCTGTATTAACTGCACCAGAAAGAAAACTATTTGCAATTTGAATATCAGTTGTTGATGAAAAAAAATCCATTTGCTAAAATAAATGAACCAATATTTGATTTTAAATAATTAAATTCTTTAATTGACATTCGACTTTGACCACGATAAAGTATTAATGATGTTTGAATATTTTGTTCTTTATGAATTAATTCTAATTGTTTACAAAGATCAATAAGATAAAAACGAAATAAATACCATAATGTTATATTTTCTGTACGAAATGCACGATTAACTAAACGATAAATAAATGAATCTTTAATATACCAATGAATAGCTTCATCTGATTGATATGTATTACGAAATAATTCAATTAATAAATTTTGTTTTTTATCATTACGATAATAATCTTGACATTTATTTAACATAAGATCTTTTGCTTGTTTTGTTTGTGGCATTTGTTTTAATAATTCAAGAAAGAAAATATATGAAAAAAATGCATCACAATTTGTTAAATCTTCGGAAAATGTTAATGAGTGAACTGATTTTAATGTTTGATTACTAAATAAATTTAATTTCAATGATGAGATTTCATTTTCAATTGAACTCTTTAATGATTCATGATCAGTACATACATCAACGACATTTGAATATTGACGGGATATATTCAAATATTTTGTTGAATCTTCACAAAAAATAATTATTGTTGAGATTATATTTTGAGTTCTTGGAAGAATTTTTGTTAATGAACCAGATAAAATAACTAAGATTCGAAAATTTTCATTTCTTATTCTATCGATTTCTAAGAAAAAATGTTGACAATTATCAAAAAATAAACAATTATTATTATTTATTTGTTTTAATAATATTTGTGTTCGTAATGTATCAAGATTATTCTCTTTACATTTTTCATCAACCCATATTAGAACAAATTCTTTATTTGTTTCATTGGTCGAATTTTGTGAACGATCGTAGAAATGAACATTTGAAATATCAATTGAATTACTCTTTATTTCTTTTGATTTTGAGTTACCCATTCTAAAATATATCAAAATAATATTTATCATCGAAAAAAAATTAAAAGTACATTTTCTTTTTTGATCGTAATGAGGTGTTTACATGAAAAAAAGAAAAGATACGCGTCATTGATTCTTTAATATAAAAACATGTCTATACGACTGATACAATATTATTTTATTAAAAACAAAATGAATTTCGCTAATATGAATATTTCATGTCAATCGTCATCGACGATTAATTTAGTTGAACAAATCCAAGAACAACGTCGAAATAAATTTATTCTAATAATTAGTATTGTTATTGCAATTATATGTTTTATTTCAACATTGATTATGATAATTATTTATGTAGTGACAAGAAGACAAGGAGATACTCATTCGATAGTTATTTCAAATACTTCATTGTATCCATGTATCAATCAATCTGTAGAATATATAACACCACAAAAACCATTTTTTAATTATAGTCAGTATCGAATTGATGCAAGTTCATTCAATCCAGAAACTTTAATAACACTTAAAATAACAATTTATCCACCAAATATTGGTTGTACTTGGTCATTTGATGTATATCCAATGGATGGTCGAATTATTCCAATAAGTGATAATATAACAGGTTCGATTTTTAGTCATTATGATCTAGAACAAGATTCAACTGTAGAATTTCGAAATATTGGTATACTTAAAGATTGGGGTGCTGGAACTGGAAAATTCATTGTAGCTATCGAAGGTGCTTGGTATGGAACAGCGGGTGTTGGATGTAAAGGATATGGAATAATGACTGTATGTTTTTCTTCTCCAAAAAAATTAACAAGATAATTTGAGAGTGTGGGTG